AAAAAAAAAAAAAAAAAAAAAAAAAGAAAAAGGAAAAGGGAAATTATTGATGTTGATTTAGTAGTATTTCTTTAAATTAAAAATCTTAAAAACTACTAAAAAATACTGAAGAAAAAAAAACAATTTTTAACAGATATTCACTGAATTCTTTGACCGACAGCAACAAATTTTGGCGTAAATTTTTTAAACACCTGAAACTGCAAGAATAATTGCTGAAAAATTAATAGTTTTTGTTTACAGAAAAAAAAAGGGGGACGGCGGTAACTGTACTAGTAAATTGATCTAACTTCATCGCAGTGTCAAAAAAACAATAGATGTCTTTCCGACAACTTTTTTCTCCTGGAATGACCACAGTGTGGTTGTCCAAATGTTATCATCATTAAAAAATTTACAAGTGGTAAATCTGAGCAAAGTTTGTAGTAGTGTTAACTTTGAAGTAGCTACCCACCTGGCTTTTTAGAAAAAGTTCAAAACATACAATCAAAACTTAGTTGATGTTATGTTCAATATGAAAAAATTTCCAACTATAATTTTTAATTTTGGCCTCACATCTGCCTTTTCAAGAAAAGAATCCAGTTCAGCGCCACAGATCGCCTGTCCCAGATATTTGTTCTAACTTTTCTTTATATAAGTGGAAAGATTACTTTATAAAAGTTGTAAAGATATTCGCTTTTTAACAGTTCGTTATTGTTGCTTATTTTGACAACTTTGAGATATTAAACAAACAGATAAAATTCCAGGAGAAGTAAATCAAAATGTAATCTTAAACATTTTTTGGCTTTAATAATTTTTTTTATAAAAGTTAAGTGAAAAAGTTTGTGAGGTAAAATTTGAAGGTGTCAAAAAGCCAACGTTAGTAATTTTATCTAGTTTGGACGATAAACTTATGAAAAAGCAGAAGCTCAATGCCGGAAGTTAAAATTATTTGTTGTGTTCTGAAAAAACTGCATAAAGAGCGGTAACGATTAAACCCCAGCAAAATAGTCAAAGAAATTTTAAAATAATCCTCCTCTTTAACTGACAATGATAAAGCTTCAAAAATTAGAACAATAGAACGAGATAAGAAGAAGGACTGCTACACTGTTTCAGTTTTCCGCTTCTTCAACTGTTTAATTTTTAACAGTGCGTTTATACTGAGAGTAGTGCACAACAGCGGACAACTTACAAGTTTAGGTACTCTATTATATTCTATTCTCAGCAGTTATGTCATTCTTTTACACCACATAACCTCTTTTTTTTTTCGGTCTCGCAAGTTTCCTTTAAAAACTTCGTTATTGCAAGCTAAAGAATCTGCATAGTCTAACCAAATGCATAAGACTTTTGATATAAAGACTACTTCCATGTAAAATATGAGTTATTAAGTGAAACTTTTATAAAATAAGATCAACCTAGCTCCAGTCTCAGTTACTAACATTTAGAAATGTAAAAAATTACTGATCTGAAAGCTTAATCAGTGCTTTCCACGAATTATACCGCACGCAATAGGATTTAATAATTAGAACGAACAAATTAATTGCTACTTTCTGTATGACACGAAAGCGTTTAGTAGCCAGTACTACTTAAAAACAAATGAACACGAGAGTTCAGAAAATAGCCTTAAATAAATGGTCTAAATCTACTTACTTTACCAAATCTTTTTTTTTATTTGAAAGACGGCTGCATTTAAATAAAAGTTCTCTAAGTCTCTATTTGCTGGGTGACCTCTATTTTTGATGCTAAGAACTCTACAACTGTATTCCTACAACTGTATTCTCTCGCTGGCCACTGAGGAATGTAGCAGCACTGGTGAAGAGTAGTGGAAACCTATTCAAACCCAGTCTCAAAACTGTTACAAAAAGGTCACGTGGCCGCCATTACTTGTGCTTTATAAACCTCATTTCTTCAAACCAAACATCTTGAAATGTGGTGTTCACAGTTTTGCCTATTCGTTGCTGTAATTGCAGCATTGAAAGGTCGATTGGGTTTGGCCGAAACAAGCGTTCCATTCTTATGAAGGCCACCGTCACGCTAAAAAACGAATAACACTGTGTTGAAAGAGGTCTTCATTGGTTTTCATATAAGTAAAGACGTTCCTGAGTATAGCTTATACATATTTAAGGGCGATAATGGGCAAAGCAAGGTCAGAATACTATTCACTTCAGCCCACGTTTTGAAAACTTTGAAAGGTTACAATGACAGAGCGCTGCTCCAACCAGTGGATTCCATGTCAGACAAATACCAAACAAAGAATTTGTCTTGTAGTTAACTTCTTTAAAATACCTTTATAATCAAGGAGCATGTGAGAATTATTAAACTGAAGGGCACTGGACAGGACAGAGAGGTAACAAGGAGGGGTTTCAAATAGAAGGGCAGTAGAAAAAATTTTTTAATAGGTATTTTTTCTCGGGTGTAAAAAAAAAATTTTTTTAACTGTTGCATTTCTCAAGTACAGACACCGCACTAGAATCAAACTGGTCAAGAAAATTAGAGAAATGATGCTGTGGAATTGTCTTCTGCAACCAATAACAAGTGCAAAAGCTGTTTCGTGGACGTTCTTCATGTTATTTAATCAGTCATTCATGACCACTGAATGGAGCAGGAAAGACTGGAGATGATGAAGCACTGGTTAGTAAACGTTAATAGAAAGGGTAGGTTGGTTAAGAGCAGCAGCTGCCAGGTATTATCGAGCAAATTTTAAATAACTTGTTTGTAGTAAAACTAGAGCAATGGTTCTTTTACTAAATGAAGCAGAAATTATGCATTAACTCGCACAAAAGAGATGTTCTTTTTACGAAAAACCGGCAAGAGTATACAAAGTCTGCTGGAAGACTGCAGTCAACTGGTAGTCACTTTAAAATTTTGTTGTTTCCAACAGCAAGACTTCATTGAAACAGTTAAAGCTATTTGAAAAGAAGTTTGAAACAGAATACAAAAAATTTTTTGATACTCAGCAAGACGTACTATTCTTTTAAATAAATATCAGAATTTGCGTGAAAGGAAAAACTTTAATCAGAATATTTTGACAACCTATAGCACCATATAGCGGAGTTGTATCCAGTCACAAACCTACACTTGCTTCAACTCAAGTATCAGTAGTGCTCTGCTACTGTTATTGCTTCGCTCATGCTCACTATAGCCGTGCAACTACTTTTTGCTGTGATTCACTCCCAGACTTTCATTTTTTTTATAATACTCTTTTCTTTGTATCGAAAAAAGCCCGTATGGTCCCAAATTTCTTAAAATTCAGTAATTGTGAGATTGAAGCCATATTAACACTCATACGTCGTCACGAAGTCATGAAATCACTGTAAATTTTTACAGCATACGTCACTCGCACCTGACAATAAACTGCAGTAAAAAACCCAAACAACACTTGAAGTAAATGGCATATGCGAATTCAAACGTTTAAGAGTTTCATGAAAGTTTAGGCTGACGTGACTGATTCATTTTAATAGAATTATCCCGCTAAATAGATAACGTAGCTGCATGACGTGTTACTATTTTTGAGTGTTGCGCAGAATTGCCTAAATGGACCGCCCTTCAAAATTTACATTTTCTAGCTGATCAATGATCGGTTCGCGATACCCTTCCATGAAACTGTGCTATGTTCATTAATGTATTAGTTTATTCATTTGTTCTTGTATTATTACAAGAAATAACTGCTATTTGCAAATAATAACTTTGAAATGCTATATAAAAAAATACACAGCTATGCAATCAGGCAGTAGATTAAAGTTGGGTGATCTGTCAAACTCAGCAGATACTTCTCGGCTTATCCCGTTGTCTGCGGTTCTTAAACCAGTTCGATATCTATAGATGGAGAAAAACCTATTAAAATTCTCCTGTGGGTTACTAGGCATTGTTACTGTTAAAGAGGAAAAAATTTGAAAAAAAAACAAAGATTTTTAACGGATTAAGGGAAACGAAGACCTGAACAATTTTTAAATCTGTCAGCTTGGAAATCTCGTTTTTCTCCTCCAATGTCGGGTATTTATTCCGTTTATAAAATAATCGTAAAATCTGATCAATCAGAAAATTGGTTAAACATTTAACACGAAATAATAAAGGTTCTGCTTGTGGAAGAAGTTCAAAAATTTCAAAAAAAAGAGCAACAAACTTTTACCTTTCGAGCATTTTCTTTAAAATTATAAATTGTCTCCTCGCCATCCCATATTGTCATCGGCGGTTTATATTTTTGTCGAAGCCGGTATTTTTCTACAGCACCCAATTCTTTTTGTCTTCGCTGTTCATTCTTAATTTTTTCATCTTTTGAAAACAGAATGAAAAAGCTGTCGAAGAGGGCTGAGAGGTTATTTATATTATCAGGATTTTTCTATGACCGCACAGCAACAAAGGGTAAAAGATCCTTTAAGATTAGGAGGGTCATATAACGAAGCTATCAGCAAACAAACCTGAGCGTAATGAGCTTCATACCACAAGTCTTGTAATTCTTTGAAATATTTCTGTTCAAACCGATGTGAAGCTATTGCCTAAAACGTTTGTCATCTGCAGTTGATTAAAAAGTATCGCAAGTTTAACGAGGTAGAGGAATCACTACCAGAATTTCATAACATTTTTGGCAGAGCCACTGTTGTTAATCCAAAGCAAACAGTATTATGGATTATTGTAAATACAGTACCACCTTATCAATAAAGTGTTATACAGGTATTAGATCATTAAGTATTCAACGTGATGAACAAAAGAGTGACCTGAAAGAATTCATCATATCGTTGACAGTGATAGAGCATGTAAAGGTACGCTCGGATGACTGAATTTGAATGGTGGTACCGATAACGTAAAAAATTTATGCCATTTTGACCAAATAATTCCATTAATTTTTTGCCATCCTTTGCTTTGTACAATGCTTCGCATATGCAATCAATCTAAACAAAAGACTATTGAAAACTGCAGAAATTCCTCGTTTTACACTCATTCATTTGTTAGAAGGAAAATATTCAAAAAAGCGCTTGATATAATAATTATCAACAATTTTCAGTTGTTGATTATCATTTGAACGCTCAAAAGATTTTTGGAGTTTGATGACCTGTCTTTAGCTTCACCTCAATTTTGTCATCAATTGTCAGTGGTAGACTGGTAATTTATTGAAGGCTATATAACGGACTTCATGCGTTTGGTATAATGAAAAAATTACCGTAAAGCTATCAATCATTAAACCAAAATAATAAAAAGAGATTACGCTAAGTTATAAATTTGTCTAATTTCACTTCACATCTATGTTAAATACCAAACATTTCAGCAGATCAGAACTGTAAAAACTTCCTCTTTTAAACTGACCTGATCTTGTGAGAATTCCGGGTCCGTAAAGCCCATTTATGTATTTCGCTATTGCCTGCTGAAATACTTTTTTATATTATCAATTTTAAGTTCACTTACCAATGATTTATTTCAGCTACCGTTTAACTGTAAAGAAAAAATGTGTTTTAACGATTTAGTTAACAGTAAAATAAACGTCAACGTAGTAATCTTGTTAAAAGAGCTCAGTTGGTAGGCAACTTTTGCAACCGATAGTGCAATTAACAGCAACTGTTAATGTAGCTTCGGAGCTGATAAAAGGGTTGGAAATAGGAAATTATTGTGGAAGTGCCGACAGTTCTAGAGAATTTGTCCCTGCAGACCGACAGAATTGAGTGGATGCACATCACCACAGTGTGGTAATCCTTCCTCAAGATTTCTGTCCCACGTTACCGTATGACCGACACGGTAAAGAACAGCAATTGCGCACACCTGCAGAAATAACGGTCTTACTAAGCACAATATTCCTAATTGGCTTTCAATCATTTTTTATTTGACTTCAGCTACTCTCAAATTTCAAACAAAAAGAAATCATTTTTTCTTAAATATTACGAGTAACTAGTAACATTTGTAGTCATAAGGTCGAATAATTTTCACGAATTATGTTCCACAATTTAAAATGCTATTATGTCGACTTGTCGATAAACTCGTTCGTTTTTTATCGTTGCGGTTAATGTAGTTTTCTGCATCCTTTATCAAATCGCTGTGCTTTGCTTTTCCTTTTCATCATTTTCTGAACCTTCTATTTTTAAAGCTTCAAACAATTTGGAAGGAAGAAAATGTTGAAATATTTTTTGTAATACAAGAGTAATGTAGCGGTATTGAGGATAATTAAAAAAATTGCAGAAAAAAGTATGCCTGCAGTAATAAAAACAAGTGTTATTACTACTTTTTCTGTTTTAAAGTTTAGCAAAAAAATCTGTTGATTTGCCTTGACAACTTCGAATAAACAGAAAAGAAGAAGTAAGAAAAAAAGCAAAAAATAAAAAGGCAAAAAAAAGACGATTGAGGAGATAATTAATTGTTTTAGATGAAATGAAAGCAATAATTAGGCTCGCTGATTATGAGTAATGTTGTGGGTGCATTTGCAAAACAATAATGGGTTTTGTTTTATAACATATGTTTTATTTGATATTAAATTGGCCAACAAAATAACCAAAATATATCATGAGGAATTTTTTGCACAGTTAAAATTATAGCCATCCTATATTGAGTAACCTGACTTTGCTGTGTTTTCGCTGGCGATGCCTGTCTATAATTGTACAATTATTTTTTCTTTGTCGAATACTGTAAACCGTACAATCTAAGAAAAGCTCTTCTCTTCACAATATTCAAAGTATTCATAGAATAGGTTTTGAAGAAAAGGAAAAAAAAACAAGAAGAGCATTTTTTGATAATACATGTCATTTCTGTGGTAATCATTAAAGCTATCCAATTTCAGGCAATCTGACGTGCTGCAGGTAGCATCCAGGAGTGAAAATTGGTCCCTTTCGCTTTTGCAAACACCTCAGGACGGATTGCGTAATCCGTTTAACAAACTTCGGCATCTTTGCACAGAGACTTTGATGAATCTTTGTCAATTTGTTCAGCAATTTATTTTTCTTTTCCGTTTACCACATAATTTGTTCCCCTTTTTATTCTTCTTTTACTAATCCTCTCTTTTTTTCCGATAATTTTCACAAGAAGTATGTGCAAAAAGGGTCATAAAAATGCAAAAAATTACTGATTACAGGCATTAAAAAATGTTATTCTTAGTTTCCTAAATGCAGTTCAGTAAATTTGTATCAAAAACTGTCAACAATTTGACAGTAAGCAGCTTCGAAACTGGTTTGCTGATTAACCTGTATATAAATATTTTTACTGGCTTTTTTAGGAAGCTAAAACACTGGTTTTTTAACTTATATATTTCATGTGATAAATACATAGACAATAAGTTAACAGTGACCAAAGAGTTGTGAAGAACAGAGATAAATGGAGGAAAATCTGAATAAAAAAAAAGTAAAAAAAAAAAAGAAGTTGCGCACGTGTCATAAGAAAAATTAAAGGATTAGCACCTTTGAAAAAGGCCGACACTAGGCAAAATTGACACTTAAGCTAAGATTCGAAATGAAAACTGTTGGGATTAATTCTGCTAATATTCGCGAGTGATTAGTAAATAATTGCAAATTATTATGCAAAAGACTAAATGTGCGATAAATCAATGATCACCTGTTGACTTGCCGCGCTCGGTCAATCGTAATAAACTGTTTTAGTCTTGTTTCAACAAAACTGTAGTCATGAAGTGTTTAAAATTTGTTCGGATTTCTCAAGCTCAAACTGTTCCGACAGTAATAATTTATCTGTTTACTCTTCCTTTATTAAGAAAGTGCATTCTGACAAAAAGCTTCTTTGGCGGTTAAACTGCCGTTTAGCCAAATAGGTCTTGCTTTTATCATTAATGCTGAAACGTCTTATGTCAGGCCTTATTTCGAAACTTTAGTTTTTTTTTGTGGCACTTTTTTGCAGTATTCGCTGTAGGCTATGAAAGAAAACAAGATTTGGAGAAAGTTTTTTATTCTTTGAGATTAAAAAAAAAGAAGAAAAACACAAAATTTTTTGTCAAAAAAACTTCTGCACTTGTAACATCAGAATTGATGTTTTATTAACTGTTTTATTTGCATTTTTATATAAATTTAATACCTTTTTTATACTTACACGTTTATTTGAAACGAAAAATAGTAAATGATTTAAAGGACAACTAGGCGTCTTAAGGAATTGTTACTTTCCAGCGACTTGTTGCTGTATTTCCAAGAAGTATCGCAGAAAACAGTATTGCAGACTTTGGAAGTTTTTAATGCGCATGATAAATTTGAAAGCTTGTCTCAGGTTGCAATACTTTCAAATCTGGTCCGTAAAAAATGAATTATTTAGAATTGACGTAACAAAAATGCGCTACATTTGTGTATTTTGCATTTTCTCGTGTACATTTAGTTAGTTTAAACAGTTAGTATTTAAAGACTATTGCTGTTGCTGTCAGATGATGACCAAAATATATACAAGCTCAAATTCCCTGTATTTTCGTGATAAAGCTGTTTTTTTTTAAAATGTAACAATCAACTAGTAGAGTAATCTGATTTATCAGTTTACTTTTTTTGGTGGGAGGAGAAAATGATTGTTTGGTCAACAGTAAAAGTACATGAAATTTAAGAAACAATAATGAAGGTATTGAGCATTGAGCAATGAGAAAATTATTAGTCTATTTTAAGGAACTTAAAAGTCTGATACAGAAACAAATAACAAGAAAAAGTTAAAATCAATTCAGTTATTACTGATGACACTTAATGAATGAAGTTTATTTTCACAGTAACGTTATTGCTGTTTCCAAATCTGACAAACCACAAATTACTTCAATAAAATTTGATGAGACACACAAGTTCCAAAATTAATATTTTAAAGAAATGGTTCGCTCTTGTTAAATAAATAAATAATTTCTTGAACACAAGTACGATATCTCCAGCAATTAATGTGCAGTCATACTTCCGTTTTTGGAGGCGGGGTAGGGGGTACTGTGACTTTATGAAAGCAGAATTTCAATTGCATGGTAATCCGTAATTCAGACGTATATTATCAATTGCCAGCCATCTTGCTTTTTTTCGCTGTTCTGCTATGAAGTATACCTGAAAACGTAAATATAAATATAACTAAAGAAAATATATTTTTTTCTTTTTTTTTCGATATTGAAGTCGGGTTTTTTGAATAAAATGTTTTTTTGTTTTCTCTTCTCCAGCGCGGGAACATTTTATGAGGAAAAATTTTCTGCAAGGACTGTGAGCGGGTATGCAAGAAGGTGGTAGAGCGGAAAGAAGGGAAAGAAGAAATAACAGAAAAGAGCAAACATACTTTTTACAGTCAAAAAACTGAGTTTTTTACGAAAGAGGTACAATACAACTACTACGGTGAAGAATATTTTTCAAGCTTTTGACTGTTTTGAACCGTGCTGCGTTCTGAGAGATACACTAGAAACTGAATCGTA